TAACTCATTTTTTGGGTGTTTTTTTTTCCTCCCAGAGCATCTTCCGCAAGTTCGACCTGGACAAGTCGGGCTCCATCAGTGCCTACGAGCTGCGCCTGGCGCTGGAGGCCGCAGGTGACCCCGGTGACTGTTCCCATGTGGGGCACAGACCCCTCCCCTGCCCGGGGGGACCCCACTGACCCCGGGGTACCCCCACCCCACTCCACCCTTCCCCAGGGTACCGGCTCAACAAGCGGCTGCACGAGCTGCTCATCACCCGCTACGCCGAGCCTGACCTGGCCCTGGACTTCGACAGCTTCGTCTGCTGCCTCGTGCGCCTGGAGACCATGTTCCGTGAGCACCTGTGATCCCAAATCATCCCAAATGATCCCAAACAATCCCTCCTAAACCATCCCAAATGGTCCCAAAGTATCCCAAATGATTCCTCCTAAACCATCCCAAATGATCCCAAATCATCCCAAATGATCCCTCCTAAAACGTCCCAAATGATCCCAAAGCATCCCAAACAATCCCTCCTAAACCATCCCGAATGGTCCCAAACCATCCCAAATGATCCCACTCCATCCCAAACCATCCCAAATGATCCCACTCCATCCCAAACCATCCCAAACAAACCCTCCCACTCCAATCCCAGACTATCCCAAATGATCCCAAACCGTCCCAAACAATCCCTCCTAAACCATCCCAAATGGTCCCAAAGCATCCCAGACAATCCCTCCTAAACCATCCCAAATGATCCCAAATCATCCCAAATGATCCCAAAGCATCCCAAAAAATCCCTCCTAAAGCAGCCCAAATGATCCCAAACCATCCCAAACAATCCCTCCTAAACCATCCTAAACAATCCCTCCCAAACCATCCCAAATGATCCCAAACCATCCCAAATGATTCCTCCTAAACCATCCCAAACCATCCCAAACAATCCCTCCCAAACCATCCCAAACGATCCCTCCTAAACCATCCCAAACTATCCCAAACAATCCCTCCTAAACCATCCCAAACGATCCCTCCTAAACCATCCCAAATGGTCCCAAAGCATCCCAAACAATCCCTCCCAAACCATCCCAAATAATCCCAAACAATCCCTCCTAAACCATCCTAAACCATCCCAAACAATCCCTCCTAAACCATCCCAAATAATCCCAAACAATCCCTCCTAAACCATCCCAAACCATTCCAAACCATCCCTCCCAAATGATCCCAAACCATACCAAACGATCCCTCCCACTCCATCCCAAACCATCCCAAACAATCCCTCCCACTCCATCCTAAACAATCCCTCCCACTCCATCCTAAATGATCCCAAACCATCCCAAATGATCCCAAACCATCTCTCCCAAACCATCCCAAACCAGCGTGTCCTTCCCGCCCATCCCACGATGTTTTTCCCTAAGAGATGAACCCTTCCCCTCCCCAAACCCCGGCGCGTTTCCCTCCCCGCAGGGTTTTTCCAAGCCATGGACGTGGACCAGGATGGCGTCGTCACCTTCGACCTGCTGCAGGTACCGGC